CACAATAAAAACCTTAAATTAAAAAAAAAAAAGGGTACTTTGGGATTAGAATCATAAGTATCAGAATAAACTCACACTTTTTAATAAAAATATATACAGATAGATACAAAAATAGGTTAGTACATATATGTACATGTTTCCTAGCTCTATCTGCTAAGAGGAGCTAGAAGCAGGGACAACCCAGTAAAAATGAGCATACCTAGTGGCCAGATCTTGGTCTGTAAACACCACTCTACAAGAAAATAAACCAGGGCTCCTTGGAGATATGGTTGATTTCACGACTGAGGCAGGGAATACAAGCTAAGTGTAGAACATCTTATAGAAGTGCTTAAGAAAGATGAGGGCTTGTCAGAACCAAAAAAGTACATAGGAGCCAACCTGAAGGAGTTCCTAATGGACAAAGCAGGAACTATTTAAGAAACGAAATAAATAGTGATAGTATTGGATATTAATTAACTGACAGAATAAAACAAATATCCATGAGTTTATATCCATGAGTCCTGGTATGGGACTGTAGGATAAGCACTTAACTGGTAATTTCAAGGTTACTGGTTCAAACCCACCAGTGGCTCCTCAGAAACCCTATATAGGGTCATTATGAGTCAGAGCCGACTTGATGGTAGTTGACAACAACAGAGATATAATAAGTAAACAATAAAATAAGACAGGGGGAAAGAAACAGCTTTTCCTCACAGAATCAGAATTAAATGGCTGAGGGCATAATCTCGTCTATATCTGTTTCTATTACACCTGGCTACCTTAACATAACTTAGCTATGGTTCAAAAAGTAAAAAAAAAAAAAAAAAAAAAAAAGTAAGATCCCTACCTTGACACCAAGTTTTAGGTGAAGTTTCAGTATATTAGGGTAAAACAAATTATCAGAAGAAATTTGTTGTTGTTAAGTGCCGTAGAGTCGGTTCCAACCCATAGTGACCCTGTACAGAGTTTCCGAGGCTGTAAATCTTTATGGGAGCAGAAAGCTTCATCTTTCTCCCGCGGAGCAGCTGATAGTTTTGAACTGCTGACCTTGCGGTTCGCAGCCCAATTTGTAACCACTATGCTACCAGAGCTCCTATCAGAAGAAATTGCCTCTGTTATAATATACATTTAGACTCCAGGTGTGGTGCTACAGGATCAGCACTGGACTGTGAACCACAAGGTCACAGTTCAAACCTATCAGCTGCTCCTCGGAAACCCTATACAGGGCTGCTGAGTCAGAACTGACTCAACGGCACTTAACAACATAATATACATTTAAAATTAGTCTATGACTCTTACTTGATAGATCCAGGCATGGTACCTCCATGGGCTTGCAGTAACAAGACCTGCAGTTGTTGTACCTGGAAGAAGCAAAGAAATGCAATCAGCTAGTCACCAATCAAAAGCTATGTATTCCTTTACACTATTATCACTATTCACAGTAATTTTCCTTGAGGCCTATGAAATCTAAGGCAAATCTTAGACAATACAGAAAGCAAAGAGAATTTTCCAACGGTACAAAGCTAGTGAGTGATTGAAGAGATAAACATCAAATCCACTTTTTGGGATACCAACTATATGATAATAATTATCATAAACCAAAAGCAGCACTTTTCACTTTTTTCCCACTTTTGCTCTGTAGCAATTCTTCCTTTAACCCAACCACCAGTTAAATCTCACAAGTTAAAAGACACTGTCCTATTACAAACATTATATGGAAAAGAAAGAAACACAGGAAGAAACAAACTTTATATAGAAAAGCAAAGCACTGCTTAAGACGAAGATTAAGGCCTATCACTTCCTGACTTCAAAATTTACTACACGGCTACAGTGCTCAAAACAGCTTGGTACCGGTACAATGAAAGATACATAGATCAATGGAACAGAATCAAGAACCCAGAATTTAACGCATCTATATACAGTCAACTGAATTTTGACAAAACAACTAAATATTTCGCATGGGGAGGTGATAGTCTTTTCAACAGATGGTGCTGGCAGAACTGGAAAACGATATGCAAAAGATTGAAACAAGACCTTCACTTCACACCTTATACAAAAACCAACTCAGCATGGATTAAGGACCTAAATGTGAATCCCAGAATTATGAAGGCCATCAATGAAAAAA